ATATATACATCTATAAACTATGCCACCAATAACAATCTGCAGTGAAAATAGAACAAATTTTTCGCAAAAAATTCGTTTAACAATAGACGAAAGCAAGCATAGCGTCGCTTGGGTGTCGAAAGGTGGCTGGCCTTTCCTCGCTCAGCTGTAAGGGCTTCCAATTAAGCCAAGCTAACATATGATTCTGACCAAATCTTTGCAATCCGCTGAGAGAACAATAAGCGAAGGCAGCGCTAATAAAAAAGAAGAAACAATTTTGCGTGCAAATATCTAAGATACACTAGCCCAGATGCGCTCTCAAGCAAAACATTGAAAGACCCTGGCTGTCCATACAGCCACCAATACTCGCGCAGCTATAATCATATGTGAGCTATCTGTGAGTTATTGTATCTGGGCGTTTTGTACACACTGATGACTAAGCGTTAGCTGTACAAAATTGATTCGAGAAAATCTAAAGAAAATCATCACAGAAGGGAGTTGCTGCATCGAAAGTGATCTGTATTGAGGCAAGAGCTCTGACGTCGTCGTATGCCACATAGCACCTCAATCTAATGCGTTCCAGAATGTAGCCAGTAATTCTAAATCATTCAGCATGAATTATATAAATACATATGCATATGTATTATATATTTATTGAGAGTGACATATATAGTTATATAGTATATCGACTCTGTGCATGTGTTCAGAAATTGCTGCCCGATGACGAAATTCGAAGCGTTTTCAACTTTTTTGCGCTTCGCTGGGTTTCGGTTGTAGGTGTTGCTTGACTTTGCTGGATGCCAGTCAAGAGCTGTAGGTGCGGGCAGSGGCAGCTCAAATTAAAACAAACTTCACAAAAGAATACACAGTGTATAAGAAGAAGAAGAGGAAGAAGAAGAAGAAAAGTAAAAGAAACGACCATAAAAATAAATTCAAGTTAGTAGCTGGGCGTTCATGACACTGTTTCTTGGTTCTTCGACTGTTAAATTTGGAAAACCCTTGGCAAGGCATAAACTCAATTTTAATGGGCACAATTAATCATAATTTGTTTTAGTTTTGATGGCGATATACGATTTTCGTGGAGAGGCGCTTTTAATTGCCATTTGCGAATGTCAAGCCGAGATCCGCCAGCCAGACGAACACCTGGTTGGTATAAATATCAAGACTTCATTAACATTAATTGCCAATGCACTCAAGGACTCGAGTCAAAGTCCAAGTGTCAACGGGGCAATGGCACTTCAGTTAACATATCCCTTCAATTCCCAAACAATTTTCACACAATCTTAAGCTGGAGTTTCACGGAGACGTGTACATAAATTCATGTATGCAAATGGTCAAACTAGAGATGGGGCGATGGGGCGACGGCCGCGGAGTGCGGTGTGCGGGTCAGCTTAAACATCAATAATATGTAAATGCAGCAAATTAATGACTGACAAAAAGACAATCGAAACGAATTAAGCAAACAACCTACAAAACCAGCAGGAGGGTTCTCCAGACCCAAACACCGCACGATGACAAGCCGACTCGCATAATTTGTATGCGGGCAAACGATCCGCAAGATGAGAGTCGACAAAAAAAAAAAAAATAAAAAAAAAATACAAATTAAATAAAACACAGTCACATGCGGCTCGCCGTCCATATACAAAATTATTGAATCAAATTGAAGACGTTCGCGACTAACAGAAACCATTTAAGACCGAGCACTATCCACGATTTACGATCAGGCATTAATATAGAATTTAACTTGGACTGCCTAGAAGTGCTACAGTTAGTCTACATTTAACGATCAGAAGAGTTGTTTAACTAACTGAGTGAGTTGGAGACAGAACGGTAAATTTGAAGACTTAACTGTTTGCATAAATCTGTATAATGTAACTTGAAGATCGACAATTGACAATGCTGGAATATAACCATTGAAAGTGCATATATAGCCTATATTGTTTTCTTAGCCCTGACGTTAAGTATCATTGGTCCAGTATTTATATATAAGTAATACTTTTATGTACATATGATCTGATCAATTGCTGCCTGTTAACATTTATAAGTTATTTAACATTAACATAGCTTCCTTTATAGACATTTTTCTATATATACCATAACTATGTTTGCTACATCTTCAACTTGACTTTGAGAAGCGTATGCTAAAGTCGTCCAAGTTGTTTAAAGGCACTCATTAAAATTAGTCTTTTGTCAAATTGGTTGACTGTTTCATTAGCTGCGCACGCTTATGGCTACGCATATGGAAATATGTGTATAAATATATATAACATTTATGGTCATAATGTGTCAAAGACCATAAATTCAATTAATTTATTATAATGTCAACAGCAGCAGCCAGTCGACTAACTGTAACTGCAGCTCCAGCTAGGCAGTGGGCAGAGGGTTTTCAATAATAAAAAATGAATATCTGTGGCGATGGCGCATGCTTCATCATGTTAACACTGGCTCAGCAGATGCCGCTGTCGATGCCGCTGCCGATGCCGATGCCGATGCAAATGAAGCTAAAGATGCTGATACACCGATACAGATGCAGATACAGATACAATGCGAAAGATACAATGCATTAATGATGCGACGCTGTCGCTCCAATTTGTACGGCAGGCAGCGCATTTAATAAATGTATCTCAAGCTGTGTGCCGCGGGGTCGCCGCATGCTCCGCCTGCCGCCTGCCGCCTTATATGTAAACAAAATTAAATGGATATTTAGATATGCTGTCGACGTGGTCTCCGGCAGCCTACGCTGGCGCCGGCCGCACCGACACCGCCACCGACAACATTTAGCTATTTGTTTTAAAATTTAATTTCCGTTTCAATTTCAATTTCACATAAATAAATTAAAAGCCAATCCAAAAATACAACAAATAAAAGCAGCTCGCACTCCGCACTCAATGGATTGCAGAACGCATTAGCGATTAATAAAGATCTGGATATGCCCATTGCTGCCATACATAATCGTAATCATCGATCGTAATCGGTATCCAAATTCAAATTCAAATACAAATCATAGTCGTAGTTGTAGTCGTAGTCGTAGGCAGCTCCAGCAAATTATTGCCGAAATAACATTCCGCCGGATGCACTAAACATATGCCAATCTATCTAGAAGATATCTACATACTTGAATTTCATGGGAGGATGTGCCATAAACAACTTGGATGGCTTAATGATCATCACATGTCATGGATTTGACACTAATTGTGGCAACAAATCTGTTCTATATATTTATGGTTCGATATTCAATTTGTATCTTACAGATACAATCTGTTTGCGTATCGCATGGGCTTGTGTATCTTATGGCTAATAGTTTACTTACCGTTGTGTGGCATGGCAGGTGTCGGTGTGTGGTAGCTGTTGCCCTTATCACTGCTTGCCGCCGTTGTCGCATAATCCATGGACAGGCGACTCGCAATGCTGTTGTTGGAGACGGGCGTTGTGGCCGGCGTCGCTGCCTGGTAATTGGATCCGCAGAGCGAGCTACTGGCAGACGATTCAAAGGAATTGCCATGCACAATATCCTCATTTGGTTTTTCACAATCTGTGCAAAGGAAATTCAATTAGTTCAACAATGTTTTCATTACCTTATTAGGGGCTCGACCTAAACTAAAAGCTTTTTTTTAGGTTTTTAAATTCAATATGTTTATGAGAGCAAAAAAAATTTTAAGCTCGGCCAAGCCAAATTCGTAATGGACCGAGCACCACCGGACAGGAAGCAACGTGCAACAAGCAACAGGTAACAGGTAACTGGCAACAGGGTTTGCAAACCCCTTTCACAACTAAGTTAGTAGCCAACATTCCGCCCCAAATCAATTTGGTCCTTGATTTCGTTAGCGTTTGCCCCACGACTTCCGCCCAGTCAGCTGCCAATTTGGCCTGTAGCTTTACGGCCAGGTAAACCTAGTTTGTTCAAGCGCACAAAAAAGGACGATAAAAAGGACCTGCGAGCTCGTGTGATTTAATAAAATCGTACAACATATTTTAAAATATTCAAAAAAAAATTAACTCCTATAAATAGGGTGCGTAAATAAGAAGAATTGAAAAAGAGCATATCAAACAAGGTAAAGTATTTTTTTTTTTCAATAAAAATAAGTTCAAACATATAATTGAGCAAATAATAAATGTGTTTGCAATAAAGCAGAATGGTTCTATATACATATGTTGGTTCTATAATATGTCTGTTGGTTTATTATATATGCTGATTTTATATGCGCAAAGTTATTTAAAATATAGCGTAAGCTCTAACAAATTGATGGGACTTGTTAGTGTTAGCTAAGGGCTTGAGGAAGCCTCTAAAAAATAATCAAGACGTCTACTTTGTCATTCGACGTCAGATGACAAACTCGAGCGCCAACAAATTATTTTAATTAGCTCCAAAAATCTCTATAAATTCATAATTAAATGTCAAGTCTTCTGACACATTTTAAAAGCAAAACTATATAAAATTATAATAACTATTAATTTGTTTGGTCACACATATTTTACAATTAAAAATAAGCTTTATTATTGATACTCTAATCATGTTGGCTTCAATAAGAAAGCTAATAAGCGATTGCCTTTCATTATTTTAATTGATACTAAAATCTTGTCTCAGTTTTTTATGTGCCATAAACTCTCTGAAATGCCCCCTTAAATATTAATATTCAACTAATCTATTTATAATTCAAAATTGAATAATTCTACATATCTTTCAAATCTCTTGCGGACCCAATTAAATTATACTAGTTTTCATATTCGAAACAGCCAATTATTGAATGAATATTGTATTCGAAGAGGGCAATATTTAGTAGTTTCTGGCTGACTGATGACTGAGTGATTGACTTAATGTGTGACTGGCGCCAGCACTTGATGTTGGGTGCCTGTCACGTGCTCACCTTTTTGTAGTATATCCAAATGCTCCCACAGAATGTCGCCCGTGAACGCCGGCGTTATGGCCAGGAATTTCTCTTTGCCCAGCTCGACCATCTCACGACCGGTCATTTTGCAGAACGGGCCCAGGTCCATGGAAAGCAACGAGAATTCGTTTTTGGCCCAGTTGAGCCAGTAGATGACATGCTCCTCCGTCCATTCGCGGGGATCTGAAATGAATAAATTAACAACATGAAAATACGTAATTCGATTAATAAACATTTTCTAATGCCGCATTCATCGCTTGTCTAATTAATTTTTATTCGTATTTTTATTGTTATTATTGATGTTGTTGTTGTTGTTGTTGTTGTGCGTGGGAGCGCTGTAAACCAAATTTCATTTCTAAGTCTATTGCTGTGGGAAACGATTAATATTCATTTATGATCACGTCTTTGTATGGAACTGTTTGTAAATTATTATTTCATTGGCGTTGCCAATGCAACCAATTGAAGTTTAGACAAGTGCATGGGAATGAATGAATTCGTTAGTTCAAGCACTCCGACTGAGCTGCTGCTTACCTTTGGTTATATTACAGTTCTGCACCTCCTTCTCCCAGGAGGCAAACGAGGCTTTCAGCACCTCGTTCACCTTGCGATTCGTGCCAGGCGTGAGGGGCGGCAATGCTGTGGGCACATCTGCAAATCAATTGAAGGAAATACAGATTAGTAATTATGTTCTACAATATATATTCAGAGGCTCTACTATATAGTTATCCTAATTATATCTAATCAATTACCTCGCAGTTTGCCATTGCTCGTGTGCAGCTGCTGCAGCTTGTGGGCTTTCAGGTGAAATTTGCTTGTTAAACTTTGATAACTATTGCTGAGAATCGTTTGGTGATTGTTGTTGTAGTTGTTGTTGCTGTTGCTGTTGCTGTTATAGTTCGCCGATCGCAGCGGCGGCAACATACGACAATCATTCCAATCGATCCATTCGTTTGTCATAATTTAGCAGTCACAACAGTTCAGAACTGCCTAAATGAATATGTAAGTATCTTGTTTATGGGTTAAGTATCGCTGTGCTCTCTTGGGTGTCAGAAGTCAAACCAATTAAAGATCACTCGTATCGCACACACACACACAAACACAAAGGGTGGGCAGCCAGCGATCGCTCAATTCAATTGCATTCAATTTATTGGCGTACAAATCAAAGCAGCATCAACAAATTTGACCCGAAATGTCAGTGAAAGTCGCGACCCTTTCGCCTCGTTTGATCTTGTAGATACAAATGTATCTGCTGGTTGGTTACTCTTCTTGTTTGCAATGCACATTTAACACAATTGATTGGCTGGCATTAAACACTAATTAGTCATCACAGCACTACTATTAACTTATTAGATGTGATTATTGCCTAGGCAACGAGTGTTGGCTTTATCAGTTGCGTTGCTTTATTTGTCTTTTACATAGAGATCGCACATACATGCACGCACACAAACAGATGCAATCGCACACAATTGAGCACATATACACACATAGCGTACATAGTACACGCGCGAGCAGAGCGATAAGATTTATTTAAATTTATTTAAGTAAAAATGTACGTTGCACAATGCACAACAAAAAAACGAAACTGAAATAAATTTTGTAACTGGTCTCTGGTTCTCTGTGTATCTATTGGATTGCTGGATTTGTGAAGCCAAACTGAAACGAAACGATCGGGTCGTCCGTTGGGTATCCTAAACAACGAGAAGAAACGAGCCAGAGAGACACAGACAGAAGCGCAGAGCGCAGAGCGCGAGAGTGAGAGCGGAGTGCGCAACAAGTGGAATTGAAATGCCAGAGCTAGCGTCGTAAATCTGAGAGCGAGGCGAAACGAGTGGAATTCATTCACAAACGAAACTGTTTAAACAGTGCTACGTGCGAGCGTAAGAACTGGGAGAGCGCATGTTTAGCTATATGCGTGCGTGCGCTCGTATGTGTGTGTGTGTGTGTGGAACGGAAACGGCCATCACATCGTGCCGACAACAACAACAGCAGAGCAACAGCTACACCTAGTAAAACAACACAACAACAAGCTGTTTGTTTAGCAATGAGAAAAAAAATCGCTTGGAATGAAAGCCAAAGCAAACAACAAACAAAAACAGGCGAACGGCAAAGGCAGGCAACAGGTGACACTGCGTACAGGGTGTAACAGGTGCACAAAAGTCAACCCGCAAGTGTGTGCAAAGTTCAAAAGCTCTGCCTACTGCTAGCTGGCCTCACTCTCTCTCACTCTTTCTCTTCGTTTATCTCTATCTGCATATCTTTTACTGGCAAAAAGCACTTTGGCAAAGTGAACAAACGCGATCAGGTGACCGAAGTAGCTGCTCAATATTCCTACACACACATGCATACTTACGAGTGCATATGTACGATGTACATGCATGCATGCTTGTGTGTATGTATGCACCTCACATATGGCAAACCTTCTCAAGTTTCCTTACACACATTGCAGGCAGAGAGCAAAGGCAACAACAGCAACGGCATCGCATTTATGAATGAATTTCTTATGTTGCCTTGCACGCGCATTCTCGTTCGAAAAAAACTCCAGCCACAGACAATGAGACAACAACAAGAAGTTGTAGAAGAGAAGAAGAAGCGACGCGTCGGCTCGTTTTCTTAACGTCAAAAATATATACAAGAACAACAACAGCAACAACAACAGCAGCAGCGACAGCGACAGCGGCAGCAGCAGAAGAAACAACAATGATCGACGTCGGCGTCGCCGCTTCCGCTGCTTCCGTTTGCTTTGCCTTCCATTCGTATCGCTATCGAACACAGGCCCGTGGTAAATAATGTATGTGAATGTGATAAAGCAAAACGGCTAGGAGAGCCGAAACGCAGACGTTGGGACGTAGGCAGAGACGAAGACGGCGACGGCGACGGCGACGGCGTTGCCAACGGCAGCGACTCGCACAAATTATAAGTACGATGTATACTATATAGGCGAGTATATAGAAAGGAAGGAGAAGGAGAAAGAGTAGGAAAACAACAGCCAGAAGATAGAGCTATTATGACAACGCGACCAGGTAAATTTATGAATGAAACAAACGCCCGATGCGGCGTCGTGTTTCGAGTCTATGAATGAATTGAAATTACGTGCGGCGACGTGGCTGACAGCGGGCAGCGGCGCTGAGATCATTTGGTCATTATCACAAAACCGCATATAATTGGCGACAAACGCAAGGGGAAACCCCACCGCAACACTCAAATAACACACACACACACACACAGATACATAGAAATATACATATTTATGTATATGAATACAAATGTACAGAAATATGCATTATGTGAGAATGGGCCTTCGAGGTGGGCGCATCTGCGTGTTCAAGAAATGGCTTAGCTTAACTTACACAGGTAGCTACACATATTTGACATTGCAAATGTTTATGTATGTTGTATGTGGCATGTCTTGCGACTAGTTGGCCAAAAGGGAAAACTCTTTAAAACGCAGTAGTTACAACTTTAAATTACAAAACGTCTGTGCGTGTCTAAAATTCATTATGAATTACCTGCTGACTGGCCCATCATACAATGCCTTGATGGAGTTCCATGGCCGGGGCCACACACACCACAACGATCAGACGGCTTGGGTGTTGCGGCCTATGCCAGGCTACGGCTACATTCCTGGCCAATGGCCAATGGCTTGCATGCTAGCTGAGATGCGGTTGGCAATCATCAGACATATCTGTACTTATGAGGTGTTCATTGTTCGCTCTTCGCGCTCCGAACTAGGTCAATCAAATCATTATAAGCAGCACGACGATGAAGAAGTCAAGATGCGAAGCTCCAATCAGAATTTTCATTCAAGTGGGTTAGCTTCAAACTTTGGCAGACTCTTGATACAAATGTATCATTATGTGTGTGTATGTACATGTGTGAGCTTATGACTTTCTTGATTAATAGCTCCTAATCATCTTTAAGCTGCATGGAAATGTCATGGGATATTGGCCATATCTTAGCTAAAGAATTACTAGAATTACTGGCATCACTATAACTAATAGGGTCTACATTCAAAATGTCACGTAGTCCATAAAAATAATCCTCAAGCTTTATGCAAACTAATCAAGGCTTGTGAATGAACTTGAATTACGCCCAGTGCTCAATGATTCACATTAAGTATTTGACTCCTTATCTTTATTTTCTTATTACTCTTCTCATTTCTCTAGTTTTCGCTATATGATTTTTTCTACATGCGCATTTTACGCCTATGACGCTTATCAAAATTCCCAGAAAGTGCGCCGCCAAGGAAATGGAGTACTCGCAAAAAATTTATTAGTGCAGGTTATTTTAGTGCTTATCAATACTGATAAGGGCAATAACCAAAAGAAAGTAGGCCAAAAAACACAAAACTTCAATATACTATATTGTAATATACTATATTGAATGTTAAGTGTTTCTAAATTAGTTTCTGTTTAATCGAAATGCGGAAGTGAAAGATATCTGTATGTCTGTCTGACTGTCTGTCATGTGGGAACTTTCAGTTCGAATGTGTGCGTGTGTGTTTGGCACGCGTGTGAACAAGTTGACTTCCGGTTGTAAAAACGGCAAATGTGGTCGTTATCTAACATAACGGAAGATTGGCAATTTATTTAAAGTCCACTTTATAGTGATTGGCAATTTCTTAGAATTTCAGCGCGCAACTCTCTCAGCCCAACTTGAAGCAGCTCGAGCGATTTGAAAATTCTCAAAATTCAAATAAGAATTCGCGATAACCGGAAGAGCTGAAGTTAACAACGGAAGTTATAATCAATATTTGTTGATATGGTATCAATATGTGAAGCAAATTCGAAAGTATTTCTTTCGCTAACTGCTCAGAATTTTAACTTGCTTTTGATTTAGTTGTACGAGCAACTGAAATCAATTAAATCATTTGCGGGCACATCCTTATAGCTGTGCTCCAGCCCCAGCCCAGCTACAGGTGGAGCGACGTGCAGCAGACAACACGCAGCCATGCCCCAGCCAAATGGCAGCCACAGGCGAACGAACAGCCAGCCAGCCACAAAGCGAGGCAAATCAACAACATTATTAAGTATTTGCTATTGACTTCCGGTCGTTAGATATTTCATTACCAACATCGAGCTGGAGCTGGTGTTGGAGTCAACTGGAACTGTTGGCTCAAAGTTGGGGTTTCTGTTTGCACAAACACACACCCACAAAGAGACAAGTAAAGACAAAGTGCTCAATTTTATTAAATTGTAAAAGTTCTCGGATAATAATATAATGTGAAATGATCTTAGCTAAGATACGCTGCACTTATCGACTGCAGCGAATCTGTCTCGCATCTAATTGAAAACAGTTTAGCAAGCACATCATCTGCCTTCAATGTCCTGTTCTCTGTGCCTTCAATGTCCTTTGATTTTAGCTTAAGGCACCTCGGGCCATACAAGGCTACTTTGCAACATTTTTAAGCTAATTTGATTCCATGCCAATTGAAGTGAACCACAACAACTGCCAATTAATGGAGGTGTGGCCAGTCGCTGACATTCAAGGATTTTGCTTTTAAGATCTTTAAACATAAATTACGTCCATAAGGGAGCGATAAATAAAAGTTTATGTAAATACGAATTGAAAGTGAGGCAAAATGAGACAAGTTCTTGGAAAAGTTCACAAAGGCATACATAATTAGCGACAGATTAAATACTCTTACATTA